AACCTGGGTCCTCTGCAAGAGCAGTCAGTGCTCTTAACTGCTGAGCCACCTCTCCAGCCCCCAATGTTCAGTATTAATGATATCTAGGTAATAACTATTTTCTCTTTTGTATTTTTTGTAGTTTCCAAACTCTCAAACACTATTTTTATAATCAGAACAATATCCAATACATGTTAAGGTATCTTTGAAGCAATAATAACTAATGTTCTTCCTATTTTGTAACAGTAAAAGCAGGAAAAACTTACTTTCCCTTGGGCTTCTTTCAGCTGTTTTTCTGCGGTCGCCTGCTTGACATTTGCTTCTCTTACCATCTTGTGAGCTTCCTGAAAAAGTTACTTAGTTCAAATTTTGCATTAACGTATTTAGCATCCATTCTCAAAAAAATCTTTCACCAACTACCTATGATTGGAGCACTGTGGAAAAAGCAGTTAGCACCAGCTAGACAAGCAGTCAGGACTTAGGACTAGGTACCCTCTACTCGGCACCTATCACCACCCACAGTGCCAGCAAAGTTGATTTCAATTACTCCAAGGACTGTGAAGATGAAAGGAAAAGATAATGGGCACAGGCCAAGGCCAAGGCCAAGTACTCTGCAATTATGCATCTGTAATTTGATCATGGTGCATACGTGCATGCATGTGTGTGTTAGTCACAGGAAGACTACACAGAAGGCGCAAGTAAAAAGTGTTAGTACTCAACAGTACAGTTTACAGGACTGTCAACCGAGAAGTATCAGTTGCCAACAAACCATTTATAAAATGATACGGGTAACAATTTTGAAGAACAACCTAAAAAGGAAAATCAGATTTTACTTTTCAATAAGGTATTTTTAAAATATTTTACTTATTGTTTTTGTTTTATGTATATGAGTGTACTGCCTGCATGCATGTAAGTGCACCCATGTTGTGCAGTGCCCACAGAGGTCAGAAAAGAGTGTCAGATCCCCTGGAACTGGAGTTACAGATAGCTGTTAGCCACCATGAAGGTGCTGGGAGGTGAACCTGGGACCTCTGCAAGAGCAGTCAGTGCTCTTAACCACTGAGCCATCTCTCCAGCTCCAACTCTTTATAATTCAACAAACATGAAACTCCAGGTATTTATTCCCCTTTAGTCATACAACATTAACTGAGGACAGCTCTTCGTGAGGTGCTGCTCCAGGTACTGATAATATACAAGGGACAGAGACTAAGTCCCTGCTCTTAAAGAGCTTATATTCTGGTGAATTCTAACAACAACAAAGCAGGGCAAGAATTCTGAATTTTATCCTAAATGAAAGATGAAGTCATTTTTTTTAAAGGAAGAGATAATATGATCTCATATTTTAAAGACTATGCTGGTGTGTGAAATAATCTATAGAAGATTAAGAATGGACTGACAGTATGGGATGTAAGAATTCATATTTTAAAAATTCAATTTGTAGGAGAGTCAAAAACATTTAACAAGTACATAATCTGACAACTTGTGGGCTGGTACGTGGCAGGGTGGAAACTACCTGAGTCTGACAGTGGTATTCCCTTTTGTCCCTTCACTCCTGCAGCACAGTAACAAGGAGTTCATATGTGCACGTGAATTTCAGACCTTAGTTTAAGTAAGAGAATGTTTACTATCAATTGTTTATAATGAAATGAGATGAACCACAAAAATATCCATGCACCATTATGCCAGTTTGGCAGAGGCCTTAAGAACTGTCAAATTTAATGAGTTAAGCATTTTCCCTTTAAAAATAACAGTTGTTTCAGATTTGCTGAATTTTTCTGGGATACATAGTAGCTGTCAACAGAAGACTATTTGACAGATATTTCCAAAATAATAAACAGATCTAATCCGATCTTTTAACTATAAAGACAGACATAACACTAAACAGAATTCCTGTTAAAATGGGTAGAAATGGACTCTGTTTTCATTGTCAACTGCGAAATTTGGATCAAACCTCTTATGAAGAATAAATGGATAAGCTGACACTTAGAGTATGTTTGAAAGCACTAAAGAGCTAAAAAATAAAATTAAATTAAAAAGTAAAAATAAAGTGAACAATTAAAACCAAGATCCAGAAGCAGTAAACCTGGGGTGAGGCAGGGTTTAAGATGACCTTTCTGATCTCAATAGGGACACAGTAAAAGGTACAGGAAAGAAGAGCTACCCTGGAGCAAAAACAGTATCCGAAAAGATAAACTGAGTTTTCAAATCAAGACATCACCATGTAGAGTTGTTAAGAGTTGAATTTTTACTATTACTCTGTCCTTCTGAAGGTAAAGTAGTTTTAAGTACCATCTACACCACTTTTCCCATCTGTGACCTATTTTGGGTCAGGAAGTTTTTACAATGCTGAGAACATACTTCTACAAAATGGCAAAAGTATGTTTAGGACTATTTCAGAAATTGTTGAAATTCTGTCTTAATCCCAAACTAAAATTCATTCAGTTTATACGTGTATATATAACTTTTATTAATTTTCTTTGACAATTTCATACAGATTTTACTTCTTTCTAAATTGTGTTTTCACGAACAAATTTGTGTTTACAGCTGATTTTAATATTTTATTTTTAACTTGTGTAATTTTTTTCATCTAATTTTCATGTGTGACAAAGTTTTTAAGGTTTTTTTCTTCTGTTTATTTTTATTATTATTATAATTTTTTTTTGGTCTTTTTTTTTTAGACAGGGTCTCCCTGTAGCCCCAGCTGTCCTGGAACTTGCTATGTAGACCAGGCTGGCCTTGAACTCACAGAGATCCACCTGCCTCTGCCTCCCAAGTGCAGGGATTAAAGGCATGCGCCACCATACCCGGCAATTTTTTAAAAATATTTTGTTATTTTTATTTTATGTGTATTGGGTATACTGCCTGCATGTATGTGAGCGCACCCGTGTCATGCAATGCTGTGGAGGTCAGAAGAGGGCTTTGGATTCTCCTGGAACTGGAGTTAAGGACAGTTCGTAGCCGCCATATGGGTGCTGGGAATCGAACCCGGGTCCTCTGCAAGAACAGTCAGTGCTCTTAACTGCTGAGCCATCTCTCCAGCCCCTATTTTTATTATTATTTTTATTTTATGTGTATAAGTGTATTGCCTGCATGTAGGTAGGTACACCCATGTTGTGCAACGCCCACAGAGGTAGGAAGAGGGTGCTGGATCCTCTGGAACTGGAGTTACGAACAGCTGTTGGTAGCTGCTGTGTGGATGCTGGGAATTAAACTCGGGTCCTCTGCACGAGTACCCAGTGCTCTTAACTGCTAAGCCATCTCTCCAGTCCTTTTTTCTCCATTTAGAAAGAGAAATTATTAGCTCAGAGGCTGGACAAAATAGGCTGTTTTCACCCTGAGGCTATAATTTGCTCACTTCTGATTACTTTGTTTTGATGTGTATAGACTTACAAACTTTAAAAATAGAATCCTTCCTAGCTAGTAGTAAATCCAAATAAAAGTGGTAAAAAAAATTTTTTCCCTGATCTTTAAAAAATAATGCTTAAATGCAACATTTTCTAATTCATTTTCAAAAATAATCTGTTAGAGGCTGGAAAGATGTCTTTGGCTGTTCTTGCAGAGGACTCAGCATCAATTCCCAGCACCCACATGGTGGCCAACAGTAATTTATAACTCCAGTTCCAGGGACTCCAACATCCTCTTCTGACCTCTGCGGGCAATGCACAACACAGGTGCACTTACATACATGCAGGTATGTATAAAAAAAAATTTATAGACAGAAATTTAGCAAAATATTTTCTGGAAAACAGGGACATCTGGGGACATAAATTTGACTCAATGGGCCTTAATATATGACAGAACACAAGAAATCTAAAATCCTCGGGGGCAGGGGGGACTATGACAGGGCAGATAGAGAAGGAATCTAAATATGATTAAGATAATATTGTATGAAATGCACAAAAATTCAATAAAATTAAAAAGCAATCAAAATTTTAAAATTAATTAAAAAATTTACATATTTTAAAAGGAAAAAAGAAAAATTAAAACATTTTAAAAAGAAAATACTTTTGTAATACTATAAAAAATTCTATTTTCATTGTTATCTTTTTAAATTTTTGTTTTAAATGTATATATTAGTATGTGTGAGTACATGTATATAATAAATAAGAGCTGAGCCTAGTGGCATAGGCCTGTACTTCCAGCTACTCAGGAGACTGAGTAGGACAGACCACAAGTTCAAGGCCTGCCTAGGCTACAGAGTGAATTCAAGGCCAGCCAGGGCAACTTCCATCTCAAAATAAAAAGCAGAGAGAGCTAAGGATACAGCCAAGCAGAGCACTTACCTAGTATGCATGAAGACCTAGGTTCAATCCCTAGTATCACACACTAAATATATAAACAAAGAAATAGCTCTTTAAATAGTGGCCAGCACATAGATAGCTCCCAATAAGTGTATTAATTACTCCCTGGATCAAAAGCTTCATCTAGTTAAGAAATGATGGTGGCTTGGAAGATGATTTGCTTTATAATCTGGAGTTACAAGACTACTAATAGACTGAATATGAACCAGAGAAAGAGTGGCCTCATGTTAACTATTGTGGCCTAAGAAAACCCAAGTGCCAGCTATTATTTTCACAGTACTTAAAACAAGAGTTAGGGTCATGAATTTGAGAACAGCATTGCCAGTAGCCTTTCTATTGCTAACTGTTCTTCATAGATAAAATAATAATATCCTTATGTTGAAAGAATACTGGGCATCAGACATACACTGAAGTTGACTACACAACATAAAAACCATCTTGGGACTAGGTCTCTTTTTCCACATTAAGTGTACAGTACTTTATAAAGCATTCTTCCAACACTCATCACTTTGTTATCTCAAATTGGAGATACTAAAGATATTTAACATTAAGAGTTTTTGTACATATGTGATACTTCTAAAAGACTTGATTTTTGTATAAAGTATAATTCTATCCCAAGTTATTTATCATTCATCATGAACTCTTAACAGAAGTATTCAGTTTGAGTTTATTCAGAAAAAGCTTAATTCTTAATGGGTAAACTGAAATTGTGACAGCACAATTAATACCACAGAAAAACTTTCAGCACAATTCATAAATAACTAGTTTGAATACAACTTTCTTCATTACTGAAATTATCTTTAATTAATAGACTTAAATTTCCAAAGGGAACTCAGCATCAAGGCTATTAGCCACTGCTAGGTTAAGAACAGGGCAGAACATCCCAAACTGTTGATTTTTAGATACATATCTTCAGTACCTGCACAAAGGCTGCATTTGAGGGAGGAGCTTGTCTATTCTTACTTTACCTAACAGTGTACAGAAGCGCAGATGTATGGAACTAAGTAAGACTCAAATTCAATGCAAGCAGTCAGAAAACAAAATTAACATATTACTAATATATCTGCTTTCTTACCAAATAGACATGTATCATTAAAAAATTTTCTTCTAGCCAGATATGGGAAAAAAAATGTCTATTTCTGTATAGTTATCTATGTAAAGGATGCATCAAGTCACATGGTGGTTGTTACAAATCTTTAACCTCCCATTCTTTACATCCTAAAATTTACTCATTTCTATAGACTAGATAGCATTTGTTTTTAAGTAATCATGAAAGAAAAAGAGAAGGTAAAAAAGGAGAGGGAGATGGAAAACTCTGTATAACTAAAGATGTCCTTTCCAATGCTACTTGTAATGATAAAAACAGTGGAACCAGCCACAATGATACATTATGACTATCATTACATACAGGGACTGAAGGGGCTTGGAGAGACGGCTCTGCAGTTAAGAGCATTGGCTGCTCTTGCAGAGGACCCAGGTTTGATTCCCAGCACCCACGTGGTGGCTAACAACCATCCATAACACCAATTCCAGGGGATTCGACGCCCTCTGCTGACGTCCCCGGGCACTGCACCACATGAGTACACTTATATACATGCAGGCAATACACTCATACACATAAAATAAATGATAAATAAAATAGCCACTAAAAATATCTGAAAAATAAATACAAAATATACTAAGATTACAGCTATGAAGGAAAATATGCACACCTCTAAAACTGAAAACAGGTGTTAAATAAACATTATAAAGCGTGATGGGTTTTTTTGCTTTAGAGTTCTTTTATTACACTAAAAGGTTTTTTGTTTGTTTGTTTTGTTTTTTTTTTTTTACTTTATGTGTATGAGTGTATTGCCTGCATGTATGTAAGTGCACTTGTGTCAGACAATGCCAGTGGAGGTCAGAAGATGGGGTTGGATTCTCCCTGGAATGTGAGTTATACACAGTTGTTAGCTGCCATCTGGGTGCTGGAGCTCTGCAAATGCAGCCAATTGCTCTTAACTGCTCAGTCATCTCTCCAGCCCCCACAGTAAAAGTTTTAGGAATAAGTTTTTAGAGGGGGAAGGGATATTGCTAAGTGATAATACCAATGGCTATTCCAGTTACACATCAGTGTTTTTGGTAAGGAACTTCTAAGTCTTAAGGTCTTAATCCAAAGGAAACACTGTCTAGCACAAGTTCTTTACCAAGAAAGTATTGCCTGTTCCCCTCCCTCTATTTTAAGTTGTCAAAATGATCCAATGGCATTACTAGCATTTGGGGGGCAAAGCCTATTTAATGTTAATTTTGTCAATTTGATTGGATCACAGGGTGCCCAAATCAAATATTATCAAACATTATCCTGAGTATTTCTGTGATGGTGTTTGGGGATGAGGCAGACTGCCCTCTATAATGAGAATGCATGTCACCCAAATCAGAGGAGGGCCTTAATAGAACAAAAGGCTAATCTTCCACTTAGTAAGAAGATCCTTTTTGCCTTCAGACTCTGAAACACGGTTCTTCCTGGTTCTCAGGCCTTCAAATTCAGACTGTTTTGCCAACCCACCCTGCAGCTCCCAGGGTTTGCCAGTCTCCTAATCACAGCAGCCAGTTCATTAAAAGAACAAGTGTGTATCTCTGTCTCACATACTCTGTTGTGCCCATTTCTCTGTGCTAATGACACTCCTACTGAAAGTCAAGGTTCTAGATGGGTAGAAAGTGTGGTTCCAGGGGCAGACTGGGGATAATGAGGTATGCCTTTTAATGTTCCTCAAATCACCCCACAGCAATGACTACATATCAAGTGTTTGTCATCATTATGCAATCATTTAAAAACAAAAACAAAAAAAAAAATCAAAGTAGCCCCTAAACAACCATTAAAAATTAAAAACTAGCTGGGCATGGTGGTGCACGCCTGTAATCTCAGCACTCAGGAGGTAGAGGCAGGTGGATCTCTGTGAGTTCGAGGCCACCCTGGTCTACAAAGTGAGTTCCAGGTCAGCTGGGGCTACAAGGAGACCTTGTTCCCCTGACCCCCCCCAAAATATTAAAAACTAGAGTTAGTGTCTTTCCTTTCACACATACATTTTTAAATTATCTGATACTAATAACCTATAATGTTTTTATTTTCCTCTTCACATCATTTAAAATTAGAGACTACATTTCTTAAAGATGTTTTCTTTTGTGCTTAGAGGACTCATGAATATACATGAACTAATCACATCCTTTTCAAGATTCCATCAACAAACAATTCTACCAATATATAAAGATCAGATGTTGCTCTTGGCCAAGATGTAGAGACCAACCTCAAAGAGACTGGCTGTGAGTTCCTCTAGCTCCTGCCCAAGTTGGTCGCGCACTTTCGAGAGTCTCTCACATTCTTCGTCTTTTAACTTCAATTCCTACAAGAAATTGATAATTCTGTTTTATATTCTTAATACTTATTAATAAAGTTATAAAATAATACCATCTCCTACATGTTCACACTGAAAAATGTCTAATACCTGCTAGATGGAAGGCAATCAGATAAATTTCAACTAACATGTTAAATTATCATATTTCTTTCATAAAATATCCAGAATGCACAAGATCTTAAACAAAACAGGTAAAAGAGAATCCTCACTAATCTCAGGCTATAAGAGAACACGTCTCCACTGCCCACAAAGCAGATCAGTGTTTGTGTAAGCGCAACAGAAGTGAAAGAGAACCTCAAAAGCAAGAATAATGAACAAATACCTCAAAATATGAGGACTCTATCTGTGGGGAAAACTGGAAGAAGGAAAACTGAAGAGCCTATCCGAGAAAAACAGGAAAGCAAAAAGGTTTCACAAGCCTCACTTTCAGGTGAGTATAACCAGCTGTATATTCCATCCTGGAGGCAGCAAGCTGCTAGAAAACCCTAAGCTCTCAAACATCTCAGAAGTGGTCAGCAAAGAGCCTAGCTGAGGACAGTTTCACCCTAAAGGAAGTCCTTTTCCAGAAAACCATCAGAAACAATGGAGGAGAGAGGTAGAGAACAAACAGAAGCAAGCAGTTCTGGGGTGCCACTGTTCAGTAGGGAGACTACAAATAACAATGTACTGAACATTCTAAAAAGCCGAATGAGGGATTTTGCCAATTTTGCCAACAAGAAAATCTAAAGCTCTAGATATATTTAATATGATTTAAACATGTACCTACATATTGAAACACCACATAGTAACACATTAGTATATATGGCTTTTATGTTTTCTGTCCTTTAAAGAATTAAACACAAAACCAAGTTACCAAGCCAGGTATGGTGGTGCACACCTGTAATTCCAGGATTCGGGAGGCACAGGCAGTAGGATCTCTGTGAGGCAGATCTCTGAGTTTGAGGCCAGCCTGGTCTACATAGTGAGTTCCAGGCCAGCAGGGGCTACAGGAAGACCCTGTCTCAAAATGACCGGAAAAAAAAAAAAAAAAAAAAAAAAAAAGCCACATTACCTATAAGGGGAAAAATCAGATCAGTCTTAAATTTCAACAGCAACATTTTGTGCTACAAAGTAATGAAGTCATACTCAATACTATGAGCTAAGTACTTTATATCTAGTCAAAGTATCCTTCATGTGAAAGGTCGAAAAGCTGCAAAGTAGTATAACCCTGTAAGACCTCAGGAAATGTCTCCCCTATGAACCTTGTTGACTCATCAAGCAGAGACCAAGTTTCAATGACCAAAGTAAAAGCTGCAGAAGCTTTTATTAGGACTAAGTTTTCACTAAAGTGAAAAGGACACATACCTAGACTCCCCACGGGGGTGGGGAGTATATGAATGGGAATGAATGGTTAAGCCACAGATAGGAGTTGGTATTTGCAAAGAACATATGTGACGACCTATTATCCAAAACATGCAAAGAATTCTTAACAACTTTAAGAGGGAAAAAAAAGAAACTAGGGGCTGGAGAGATGGCTCAGGGGTTAAGAGCACTGGCTGCTCTTGCAGAAGACCCAAGTTCAATTCCCAGCACCTACATAGCAGCTAACAACCATCCCTGGTATCTCCAGTTCCAGGGGATCTGATGCCCTCTTCTGATCTCCACAGGCACTGCACATCATGGATGCACTCACACACATGCAGGCAATACAGTTAGGTGCATAAAATAATAAATATTTAAAAAGTAGACTTTAAAAATAGACAAAATACAAGAACAAGACATTTCACTAAAGAAGATACATAGATAACAAATAAGCCTATGAAAGATACTCCACGTTCTCCTCCATTGGGAAAATATAAATTAAAATGAGATACCACCAAGCACCCATCAGAATGGCCAAAACTGGAACACTGACATCAAATGCTGTGAGGACATGGAGCACCGGGAATCTCATTCCTGGCTGCTGGAGTACAAAGCAATGCGGCCACCCTGGGAAATGGTCTGACAGTTTCTTATAAAACCAGACATACTCTTACCATATAGTCCAGCACTCACTCTACTTGGTATAGACCCAAAGGAGATGAAAACTTAGGCTCCCACAAAAAACTGCACACAGACTTTTAAGGGACTTTATAATTTCCCAAACATGGCAGCAGTCAAGATTGTAGTAATTAACTGTGGTAGATCCAGACAATGGATGAGCATTCAGGGCTAAAAGGAAGTGAGCAATCCAGTCATGGAGAGATACTCAAGAAGGCATACTAGTAAGTGAAAGCATGTCTGAGGCAGCTACACACTGTATTTTCAACTGCAATATAGCCTAAAAAAAGGAAAACTGTGGAGATTACAAAAAGGTCTATGGTTTTGTGGGGGGAGGAAAAGAGAATGAAAACGCAGAGCACAGCGATTTTTAAGGTAATATTATATTGGTGGGCTCATGTCATTATATAAGTGTCAAAATTCACAGTATTCACACCACCAAGAGTAATCCCTAATATAAATTTGGAATTTGGGGGATGAGTCAATGCAGTTTTTTTAGCAAGGGTATAGTTAAACTTTAAAAAGATGTCTTTAGGTAGTATGTTCAAATGTAAGGTGCTGAAACCAATTAGCCTTCAGATGAATGCACTATTGGGAGAGTCAGAGCATCACACTATACACAAGAGGGACGGGGTCCGGAGAACTGAGAAACAGCCTCAGTTCCCAAGGAACAAAGGGAATTTCTTGCTCCTATAGATTTGGGGGAAGGGGCTATCACAGCATAACTCAGCCTACACACTAGGAGTCCAGGAAGGCACTGATAAAGAGAGCAGGGTTATAACTCAAGGCAGTTCTGGTTCCCTTGCACTCCAGGCCTTGTCTGGCCTTGCTCACAGCTGCAAAGTGAGGAGGGATAATTCAATTCTGTAAGAGCTGTAAGGTCACAGCATGTGGCCTATCAGCTCCAAAGCTGCTCCTAGAGAGAGGCTGTAGGTGTGGTCTGATCCTTGGGAAAGTTGAGTGGCGGCTAGAGGATCTGTTACCTAACATGTAACATACTCTTGTCCAGGATGTTAACAGTAAGGGAGTATATGGGAACTCTACTTTTTTTCCAGTTTTTCTATAGTCTCCAAATTTCTCTTAAATGATAAAAGCTTTGGAAATATACTCTCTCTCTCTCTCTCTCTCTCTCACACACACACACACACACACACACACACACACACACACACACACCAAGCAAAAGATGAAATTGAGTGTCCTAACTTTTTAAGTATTAGCTGGAAGTGAAAGGAGACACAGCTTGAGGTTCATGAATGATTTATGTAACCAACGTAGTTAAGACCACTGAGATTAGCATGAACATGTGTACCTATGGTGAGATGATGCAGGAAAAAAAGGAAAGAAATATTAACCCAATAATCTTAGTGTATCTAAGTAGAGAACAAGCATCTATAGAAGAGCTAAAATGTATGAACGCCTTTGAGTAAAAGTATAAAATTGGGTTAGTTTAAGGGAGGGGGGAGGGAAGGGTATACCAGGAACCTAGGGGATAAAGGGAAAGAAGGTGCTCAAGAGAGGTAGGACCATAGGAGAAGGGTATTAGTAAGGGAGAAAGGGGAGAAATGGGGGCACCTTAAGTGGGAAAACCACGATGGAGGGGTGAGACAATGCGAGAGATAAACAATGCCTAGCTAGTTTTGAAAACCAGAGAGAACCATGTTACTCCTATAACCTACTGACAAATTATACATAGCAGATCAAGAAATATATGTCTAGGTAAGGTTTATCTGAGAACAACTGGTCTTTGCCCAATATTTATCTACATGACTCACAGTAATTAAAAATACCAGACTGGTGGAACTAACCTTCTTGGGTGTTTAACAGACATACTTTGAGGTCTATAATAATTTGGTCAGAGGGACATAAAGGACACTTTTTGCTCCTTGCCCTCCTAGGTCGACTAGTTCCAAGGGACTATGAGCATCTCTCAAAATGTCCTATAATGGTGGTGGGTCACCTATCCTCTTGATCAAGGAGGCTGAGGAGACCCCACGAGGTGGACTTGAACTAGTGTCTAGTCTATAAAGAGGAGGGTCAACACAGAGGAATCATTTCCTCCATGCTTCCAAGTGAAGCCAGCCACGGTCCAGCAGGACCTTTGACTTATCTTCACATAGTCAGAACTGGTTAAAGAAAGGGGCCAGGAGCTCCTCCCGAGCCCATGTGACCCCTGAGGAACAGATCCTCAAAGGACCTTAAGAGTAAAAATAAATCGGTTTTATCTGGACCAACTTTATGGCCTTAAACACCCAAAAGGGAAAAAAAAAAAAAAAAAAGTAACAACTAGAACACAGGTCTTTAAGCTCAGCTCTTGGGAGGTGGTGGTGCTTTCAACAAATACTTTGTGTTAATAAATCAGAAAATCACGTTGGTGTCAGAGAGACAAAAAATAAGACCAAATTCATGATTTTCATGAAGTCATAGTCTACTGAGGGTTGTAAGCTTTTAAACAGACTCGGAAGGAAATGTTCAAAGCAATGATGGGTATATTAGGAAAAAAATGAGACAAATTAAAGGAAGGCATGAAGCAGTATGCTTTGTAGCAGCTGATGAGGTGGGGATGCCAAAAGAAAGGTAGGTTTGAGATCTGTATCAAAAAGCCATCAAAGTCAGGGTAAGAAAGGAGACTTACCTTAAAAGCAAAGGAAAAAGATCTAAAAATAGATTATCACCAGCATGCATGGACAGGAAACATGTTAAAGATGTCCTTCAAGCAGAGAGAAAGTGATACCAGTTGGAACACATGAACAAACAAGTCGCATGGGAAATAGCTCATGAACACCTAGGTAAAGAAACTGAAAATTCTTTCTCATTATTTAAACCTCCCTAAAAATAGTCAAGTGTTTAATGCAAAACTAAATGTATTGTGGGGTTTAAAATATATGACAAAGTACATGACAATCACTGCATTAAGGGCTGGGGGGGAAAATAGAAACTACACTTTTATGATTCTTACAGTAGGTGCTAGAGAGACAATTCAACAGTTAGAAGCACTGGCTGCTCTTGCAGGGGACCCAGGTTCAGTTCCCAGCACCCATGTGGAAGCTAACAACCATCTGTAACTCCAGTTCTTGGAGATTCAGCACCCTCTTCTGGTCTCTGCGGGCATTCTACACATGTGGTAAACTTACTACATACATGCAAACAAAACACTCATACACATGAAATAAAAATTAATAATTTTTTTTAATTAAAAAAGATTCTTATACTATACATAAGATAGTATGTCACTGAAAAGTAGACAGCAACAAATTAAAGGTGTATACTAAAAATTAAAAACTAATACAAAGGGAATGAGAGGAGGAAGTGGAATAAAAGGGGATCAGGTGGAACAACAAATATAACAGAAAGAGTAAAACAGATTTAGCCAAACTATACCAATATCACAGTAAGTATAGTCTAAATGTAAATTAAAAGACACACATTATTAGAAAGGATAAAAAGAAACTCACATTAAGTAGGAAAATAGTAATAAGGTATAAATGAATGAAAAACAGGCAACTAAAAATAACCAAAGAATAGCCAATGGCATAATTTTGATTCACAAGGTGACAGAATTTAGAAACTACTTTCACATTTAAGTCCTCTTTAAGTCTTGAGACCTTTTCATATATTTTAAATCTCACAATACATTTTTATTTTAGCATTAAACACCCGATCATTAAAACTACTATTGTGTTCATCCTAATAAAATTCAATACATATACCTTCACATCATAATCATTTGAGTTACCTCAATATCTCTCTAAAAGGGCTGGAGTGATGGCTCAGTGGTTAAGAGCACTGGTTGCTCTTCCAGGACCAGGGTTCAGTTCCCAGAACCCACATCGCAGCTAACAACTGTCCCTAACTCCAAGTCCAGGGGATACAACCCCTTTTCTGGTCTCTGTGGTTTTGTACATACACAGTGCACTTACATACATATATGCAGGCAAAACACTCATATACATAAAAACAAATTAATTTAAAAACTGGGGCTGGAGAGATGGTTCAGGGGTTAAAAGCACTGGCTGCTCTTAAAGAAGACCCAGTTTTGGTTCCTAGTACCCATATGGTGGCTAGCAACCATCTGTACCTCCAGTTCTAGGGGATTCTACATCATCTTCTGGCCTCCCTAGGCACTGCACAGCAAAGGTGCACTTACTTACATGCAGGAAAAAACTCATATACATAACAAAAAACAAAAAAAAATTCTGATCTCTAAAAGCTGCAAATGAAAGATTTCAAAAGCAATTCCCGATAGACCTTAGAGATTAGCAATTTATTTTGTTCAGTAGGTAAATACAATATTTTCAAAGATGGATATATATTCTTGATAGTTTACCTCTGTATAATCTGTGATTTCACTAAAATACCGTATATTAAGACAATAAAGTCTGAGGCATATGGCAGAAGCAAAACGTAATCACAACTCATGCCCACACCCTTCCCTTTAGAAAAAAATCTTAAAAGGCTATTGATTTTTCTTCATGATAGATATGCTTTAACAAAAAGTATTAACATATCCAAAAAGTTATTTAATCATTAACCATGTAATGAAGCACTTACAAAGAAACATGTTATACCAAGCATTGTGCTATATAACACTAAGTACTGTAGATTCTTTTTAAAAAAGTTGTTATGCTCTTAAGAAAAAAACACAGTAGGGAGATGGTACAACACATCCCTGAGCAAAGTCATGGAATGCTAGAAATTATACCTACCCTAAATTGATCTACCTTCTTAATTTTCATAACATAAATTGTGTGGGGGGGGTATTTGGCCACAGCTGTCAAACTTATGTATGTAGAGTTATTTATACCATTCCCAAGTTATATTTTTACTGTCTGTAGCTGTGGTGATAGTCTGTTTCACTCCTACTATTAATAATATGTATCTTTTTTATGTGTTAGTCCTGCCAGAGGCTTGTCAATTTTACTGTTGTTTTACAGAATCTGTATTTTCATTCATTGTCTCTGTTCTCCTCTTGTCATTTTACTGAATTCTACTCTCACCTTCACTATTCATTTCCCTCTACTTGCTCTGGTTTTTGGGTTTTTTTTTCACTTTTAGGTTCTTAAAGTGAGAACTTAAAATTGTTCAAGGCTTTTCTTGGGCTGGAGAGATGGCAAAATGGATGAGTGCTTGCTACACAATCTTCAGGACTAGAGTTCAGATCCCAATACCATGAAACAAGTCAAGCATCAGCTCTGAGGCAGGGGCAAAGATGGGAAGATCACTGGCGCTTGTTGGCTTGCAGACCAGCCAACAAAGCACAAGCCCCAAAAGGCCAGAGAAATAGCTCAGTGTTAAGAGCACTGGCTGCTCTTCCAGAGCCAGATTTAGTTCCCAGCACCCACATGGCAGCCAACAACTGTAACTCTAGTTCCAAGGGATCTGATGCCCTTTTCTGGGCTCCACAAGCACCACACACATAGGTGGCACACCTATATACCTGCAAAGTATTTATACACACAAAAATGTAAATAAATAAAAATTTTTTTAAAATACACAAGGTTCAGGGAGAGACCCTATCTCAAAGAACAGGCAAAGACTGATAGAGGAAGTCACCTGGCCTCATCTAATGGCCTCCACATTCACATAGGCACACATACCCACACTCCTATGTGTGCACATATACTTTCACACATACACACACACACGCACGCACACACACGCATGCACACACACATAATCTTTTACAAAAGACTTCCTGTTTTCTAAAATTATATAGCTCTTGCTGCAATTTAATGCTAGTCACAGGAAAAAAAAAAAAAAGAAAGATATGGTCACAAATTTGGAAAGAAATTTTGAAGAAAAGCAAATGGGAAACAGACGATTTACCAAGAAAAGAAAATTCTCCAAGATAAAATACAGAAAATATTCACCCAGCAGAAGAAAGGTGATACTAATAAAACAATTCCTCAAAATAAAAAGAATTAGACTGATGGACTTCAGGTGCCTGACACCAAGGCAGCTGCATGATAAGGAGATGCCAAGCTGCACGTGGACACTGGCCCACAAAGCTTGTGCCAGAGAACACAAGGCAGAGAGCAGTCAATGTGGAGCGTCAGCATCTTGTTCTTCCACTTCGTTTTCTCAGACAGGGCTTCTTATCCAGCCAGTTTCACAGATTTACACATGCTGGCTAATGAAGCTGAGTCCACGTGAAGGGTACATGCAGAAATGCACTGATATCAATTATCAGTGGCCCTACCTACAAGTAGCCTTTTTTTTTTTTTGGTCTTTTGAAACAAGGTCTCCCTGTAGCCGCAGCTGGCCTGGCACTCACTATGCTCACTATGTAGACCAGGCTGGCCTTAAACTCCCCAGTGCTGGGACTAAAGACGTGTGCCACCATGCCCGGCAGGAGTAGCAATTTCTAACAAAAAGTGTGGAAGGATAAAATTGTTTTCTTACCCGCTGAGCTTTTGCAAGTTCCTCTTTTAATCTTTCGTAGCCCTTTTCTCTAACTTCGAGAACAGATGGGCTTCGTAACCGGGACAGACTATCCTTACTCAACCCAAAAATATCATCACTGCCCAAACAAGTGTCTGTGATAGTGGCCCCCTGTAAGAACTCCCTCTCTGCATTACAGCTGTCCTTTCTCAGAGTTAATTTAGTTAGTCCCGCCGCAACTCCAGAGGTAACAGACGATGCTGGGTCCGAAACATGAATGCTGCAAAGGAGAGAAACAGTTTCAGAGAACAGTATATGCTAGGAAGAAACAGCATAAACCGCAGCTCAGATGAACTGCAACTTGGTAGCCCCTGTATTTAATTCACAGCAGGTTCTCAGTCATACCAGCTGCATTTGAAGTGTTCAATAGCCACATGTGGCTAATGGCTGTTGTTCATATTAGAACCTCAGATTTGTTTTCATGATCACTCTAAGTTCTACTGGGTCACCAATTACAACCTGAAGGCTAAATCAAGCCTGCTATCTATTTTCATGAGGCCTAGGAACCAAGAATAAATGAAAACAAATCACAATACTTTATGGCATGTAAAAATTATGAAATTTCAGGTTCTATACAAAATATTAATTTTTAATATTTTATTTATTATCTTTATGTGTATGAGTATATTGCCTACATGTAGTCAAGTGCACCCGTGTTGTGCAATGCCTGCGGAGGATAGAAGAGGCTTGTCAAATCCCCTAGAACTGGAGATACGGACAGTTGTCAGCTGCCATGTGGGTGCTGGGATTCGAACCCAGGTCTTTTGCAAAAACAGTCTGTGTTCTTAACCACTGAGCCATCTCTCCAGCCTCCATGACATATTAAGTTTTATGGGGACCCAGCCATACTTATTCATTCACATACCGTCTACAGAGTCTTTCACACCATAAAGACAAAACTAAAGAGTTCAGAAAAAAAAGTGTATGGCCTGCAAAGTCTAAACTACTTATTGTCTGGCCATTTATGTAAGTTTGCCAATTCCTGGTCTAAGGACTGAAATGTATCACTGGGCATATTTATATTATTCAAACTTTCTACAATCGTAAAACTTAAGGCAACCAAGCAAACAATTTTTTCAAAACAATAATCAAAGTAAGTGTCTTGAGGAGCTCCTACCTGATACTAGATATTTCGGCACAGTTTAAACGCCTCGGGGATGAATACACAGGTTGCGTAGGAAGATGAGAAACATCTAAGGCGTTAGCCTGGATAGGAGCAGAGCATAAGGATGAAGGATGTGGCCGGTAGATGACACTTGGTGAGGTAGTCTGCTCTTGAGTTCCTGAGTCACACACACCAAGAAGGTCTGGAGAAGTAGGTGAAGCAAGGTTTACTTCATGGAAGCCTTCCAAGGGGTCATTAGCCATAGTAAAGTCCTCATCATAAGATAACCTATGCTAAAATCAACAGAATAGAATTATTCTTAGAGAGTTAATTTAAAACTAAATTCAAATATATAATACATAAATTATGAAATTTTTTTAAAGTTAATATAAAATATAAGCTTACAGTCAGGTGTGGTTGTACACAACTTTAGTCCCAGAACTCAGAAGGCACAGGGAGGCTGATCTCTTTGAGTTCGAGGCCAGCCTGGTCTACATAGAGAGTTCAGGCCAGCTGGGACTACAGGGAAACCTTGTCTCAAAAAGACCAAAAGCAAAACAAAACAAAACAAAACACACACAAATACATACACACACACACACACACACACACACACACACACACATATATAAAAGCTTACAATGAGATAGTAAAAAAACTACTTAGCATTTATTAAGTGATCACACAATAAAAATATTACAGATAAAGCAAGCTAATTTGGAAAGAACTTTAAAACTATAGGTAACATCGTTACAGTTGGGAGCAATTAAGTGTGAGGAATGAATAAAAGCTTTCTTACTAGGTTTACCTTTGTTAGCATCTATATAACCTTGGTTAGAAAAAGAAAAGGCAGTAAAGATAAACACACATTCAGAACAAGATAGACTTCAACTAACTGCTCTACCCTGCCTCATACTGGCTGTGAGGTTGGATAAACCGGTATTTTTTATTTTGAAATCATTTTAAATTTACAAAAGAACTACAGAACTTCTGTGTAACAGTCACCCACATTATCAGTATGTTGACAGTTCTGAGTCATTTGAGAATGTTTTAGACCATTAATACATGTATACTATATCCTAATCATAAAAGCATCATCAAATCTAGATGTTAAGAACGAATCAAAATTAGCCGGGGTGGTGGTACATGTCTTTAACCCAGCACTCGGGAGGCAGAGGCAGATGGATCTCTGAGATCAATCCCAATCTGGTCTACAGAGCAAGTTTCAGGCCAGCTGTAGCTAAAGGGAGACCTTGTCTTAATACATGTATACTATATCCTAATCATAAAAGCATCATCAAATCTAGATGTTAAGAACGAATCAAAATTAGCCGGGGTGGTGGTACATGTCTTTAACCCAGCACTCGGGAGGCAGAGGCAGATGGATCTCTGAGATCAATCCCAATCTGGTCTACAGAGCAAGTTTCAGGCCAGCTGTAGCTAAAGGGAGACCTTGTCTCAAAAAAAAAAAACAAAAAAAAAACCTTTTTTTTAATCAAAATGACCTAATGGACAAGTTCCATTACAGCTTCACCAGTCGCTCCAACAGTGTCCTTTACAGGTCAGATCCAGATCTAATTCAGAATAATATGCATCATTTCTCTAATCCCCAATTTCTCTTCTGATGGGATGAAAATGGGTCTAAAATTATTCCCTCCTATCTCCTGGTTGCCATGAACATTAAAGACAACCCCTTAAGGTACTTAGTGGAGCACTATATTCCTGGCACATGCCATGACCTCAACAAATAGTTGTTTTCACAGCCTTTGATAACAAGTGTGCTTCAGTTTCTCCATCAGCAAAAAATACTTTATTCAATTAACATGAAAACCAAAACATGTCTCTTCAAGTTGCTTACTTAAAGAATCTAAAGCTAAAAACTCTTAGAACCTTTTATTGATTTTTCACTATCTACAGAAGAAAGTCCAAAGTTCTTAGCCTGAAAGTCATCTTTGATCTGAACCTAACCCCCACTTCCAATCTGGACTACAATATGACCATGTATAAACAACCAAAATTCTATCAACTAAACTTACAAATGTCTAATTTCAAACCAAATAAACTCACTAACAGTAAATTTATTGATAGCAAATGATATTCTCAAAGTGTAACTAATCCCTATTTGTTATGCAAAACATTCACTATACCAAATGAAAGCTCAAATACTCTGAAATTTGCTTTTATATCCAAAAAACAATTTTTTCTCATAATTCGCCCACAAACACAAGCCAAGAAAATATCTTTAAAAAGTGAGTGTGTGCGTGTGTGTGTGTATATTTCATTTTCACTTGAATGAATATAATTCACTGATTCATTTTGAGGTAAAAACAAACAAACCTTTGAATGTGCTTTCACGGAACTGACTTTTTTCCACTTGCAATTTCATACATACATAGACTATACTGTGCTCGTATCCACCCCATGACCCTCTCTTACTGCCCCTACCCCACTCTGACTCCTTTCTTCTTTCCTACTAGCCCTGCTCCTGCTCCTCATGTCATTGTATCTCATTTCATGATACAGGTCTTATACAGGTAACCACAGCTGCTGTGTGTCCATGATTGCAACACCATGCCAAATCCAGAAGATAGCATTTATTTCCATCTTCTGGCTCTTATAATCTTTCCACTTCCTCTTCTGAGTTGTCACTGAACCTTGGAGGAGTGATACAGATATTTCATTTAGAGCTGAGCAGTCACTTGTTCTAAGCCCTTTGATCAGTCTCTGCATTAACTTTCACCCTCCACAAAAAGCAGCTTCTTTAACATGGACTGAGAGCAGTCTATAAGTATAAACATAAATGTTAAGGAGGCAGTGTGCCTACATGTCCATTTAGTAAGAACAGATGGGTATGCACTCCCCCAGGGCCTGTGTACTCCCCAGTCACAGGCTTCTGACCAGGTTTACAGTTTCAGGCTTATATTCTCACCTGTAGAATAGTCCTCAAATCCAGTGAGGAAGCAATTAGTTAACCCCAAAACATTCTTGCTAATACTGGACTAATGGGCATATCCTGTTTGGCAGGTCTACAGCCAGGAAAGACCACTGATGACTTTGCTCTCCAGGCAGCCTGCAGAGCATCTTCTGGCACTAAGTGAAGACGAAGAGTCTAGCTCAGTTCCGGCTTGACTTCTGTGTCCTGTATCTAGTGTATGGGGTCTTCAGCAAAGGGATCTTACCATCCACTTCTGGTAAAGTAACCAAGAGCAATGGCAGTAGCCTTACTTAAATTGGCTTTTTTTTTGGTCTGCCTCCCAAGTGCTGGGATTAAAGGCGTGTGCCACCATGCCTGGCTAAATTGGCATTTTTATCAGCAACTATGCTACTTCCTTTCTTCTATCCATGCACATCTAATTCACCCGATTATACCTTAAAGGTTCACTGAATAACAGGGTATAACAGCATGTCATTTCTGGAATGCAAAATGGTACAATCCTCGGGAAGAAAATGTGGCAATACCTAGCAAAACGACATGTTCATTAAGCATAAGTCTCAGCATACTCATAGGGCTTTTCCCAAAGATAAGCTGGAAAATGAGAGTAAAAGGATAAATGCATCATTTGTAATAGCAAAAGAGTGATTTAATAAGCTGGGGTACATCTTCATTATGAAACATTACTTGTGTATATAAAGAAATGAATAGTATCTAATGCTGTGAAAGGACTTGGGGATATACTGACAAATTTAATGTTTGCACACACATGCATGATGGTGTGTGCATGGGTACCACAGTATGTACATGGAGTCAGAGAACAACTTCCAGAAACTGGTTCTCTCCTGTTAGGTTTATGTTTGTAGCAAATGCTTTCACTTACTGAGCCATCACACCAGCCCATAAGCTATTTCTTACTCTAAGAAAGGAGAATAGGGGCTGGAGAGATGGCTGAGGAGTTAAGAGCACTGACTAATCTTGCAGAGGACCCAGGTTCGATTCCCAGCACCCACATGGCAGCTACGAACCTTCCTTAACTTCAGTTCCAGAGGAATCTGAAGCCCTCTTCTGACCTCTGCAGCATTGCACAACACAGGTGCACTCACATACATGCAGGTAATACACTCATACATATAAAATAAAAATAATAATTTTTTAAAAATGAGTAAAAGTATAAATTTATGTATATGTATATGAAAAATATGTGCATTTATACACATATACAGGTATTTCAGAAATGGAAGGTTACATTTAAAACAAAGTTATCTATAAGGGAGGGAGAGGAGGGGGAGTGAAAGGGCATGAGCCCAGACTTTTTTCAATGTATTTTTAATAGATTTGAACTGGAGCTTGAACCCACACAAATTACATGGAGATGGTAGTTTAACCAGACACAAAATAATTACTTTTTATGATTTTAAACAATATGGAGTAAATCCTAAGAAAGTATTCTAAGGACAAATTAGTGAAAATATCAAATGATTTTCAGTGATCACATTAGCAGTAATACTGATACTGTTATTCTGAAACTATTATACAGACCAAAATGAAGCAAGTAAGTTAACGTCACTTGGAACAAAGATGTTTTCTAGAATATGAGAAAAGTACACAAATGTAAAATCAAAGAAGTTAAATCTTAAAAAGTCCATAAATCAAAAATACCAGAAAAACTTTCTATTAAAAAAAGTGGGGGAGCTGGAGAGATGACTCGGCAGTGAAGAGTACTGACTGCTCTTGCAGAGGACCCAACTTTGGTTCCCAGGACCCACATGGTGGCTAACAACCATTCATAACTCCAGTTTCAGGGGATTTGATGTCTTCTGACCTCTGCAGGTACCACATGACACAGGTGCAATGACATAACATGCAGACAATACGCTCACAGACATAAAATAAAAATAATAAATTTTTTTTTTTTAATTCCCAAGACTGGAGATGGCTCAGCAGTTGGTTCAGCAGTTAAGAATATATACTGCTCTTGCAGTGGACTCAAGTTTAATTTCCAGTACCCACAACCCTGAGACTCCACCTCAGGGGACCCAACTCCCTCTGACCCCTGAGGGTACCTGCAATCATGTACACATACCCACACACACATAATCAAAATAGAAATCTTAAAAAAAAATTTCTAGGGGGCTGGAGAGATGGCTCAGAGGTTAAAAATACTGGCTGTTCTTGCAGAAGACCCGGGTTCGAATCCCAGAACCCACATGGCAGCTAACAACTGTCCGTAACTCGTTCCAGGGGATCTGACAGCCTCTTCTGTCCTCCGCAGGCATTGCACGACATGGATGCACTTACCTACATGCAGGCAATACACACATACACATAAAATAAAATAAATAAAATACTAATCTAAAA